AATCAAATTACCAGTCGGAAATATATTGAAGAGAGACAGAGAGAGAGAGAGAGAGAGAGAGAGAGAAGAAAAAAAAAGAGACAAGTCACTGACGAGCATACTTTCAAATCGACGTTTACCCTTGATGTGACGTACACGTTCGTACACGTACGTAGTTCAACGTAGTACACGTAGTACACATCGAAATCACGGGAGCTAACGTAGTACGTAGTATGAAACTTTTTTTCGTGCGCCTCCTCCTCCTTGGGAAGGAAGCAAGAGCTTACCGAATACGAGCGTTTTCTAAGCGAGGCGCCGTTTCTTTTCTCGAGAGAGAGTGTGCCTAACAACGTACAACGGGCAACAACTTTTGAAAAGACATGATGCATAAGCCTCGAAGATCAGGTGCCGTCAGAATCGGTGCCGCCGCGGTCCCGCATCCGAGAAGAAATTGCAATAGAGCAACAGAGTTTTGTCACGATCGGCAGGAAAAGAGTCGGTCCGAATCGGTTGAGATCGACCGGACTCGGCCGTTCTCGCCACTGTTCGAATGAAATCGGCTCGACTCGGAGCGAATGAACGAACAAACGAACGAACGAACGAACGAGTCGCATACCACGCATTCCAATCTCCCCGAGTCTGTGCTGCATTCGATCTTGGAAAACCCTAAAAACGCGCTCGAGTAATCCGCCAACACGCTCGAGTACCCCCCTCGTGAGCACATATGTTGAATATACTCTACGTATTCTCGTCGTTGTTTCAATTTCCTACTCTCCTTCGTCCATCACCTACCCACTTTCAATCGCTCTCCACCGCCGTCAAACTTTTCGTACGAGAGAACACGCCTAGACCCGCGTTATGATTTCATTATGCCTTCTCCTCCTCCTCCTCCCTCCTCCTGCTTCTCCTCCTCCTCCTACCCTCTATCTCACGCACGTACAGTGTGCACGTACGCGTACCTACGTATGCATAACGTATAACGTTGAAACGTTGTATATACGTTGGTATACGTGCAATCCCGTACGCAACGAAATTCTTCAAATAACGTGAAAAATAAAAAGAAGACGAGTAACGTGCAAAACTTTTCTTTTTTTCTTCTTCTTCTTTTTTGCCTTCGTACAGGTATACGTAAAGCATTTACGTGCAAGAAACGTTGCACGCCTCGGAGACAGGTGTTTTTTCTCGGTTTCGTCGGTTACACTTTTGCACGCAACAACGCACGTTGCAACAATCGAAATGATCCGAAGAATCGTATATATAATATCCAAAAATTATCCGAGGGAATTCAATTCGATGACAACAAATACAAACACGGTGAAACACGGTGAAACACGGTGAAAGAGAAAAAGTGGAGAAAGACAGCGAACCAATGTGTCATCGTACTTACTCCTCGGAAACTGTCATTCTTCCGATCGACAGTCGAGCGATATGCAAACGACAATTCGACTAAAAATTGATCGTCTCGAGGAAGAGAGTGGAAACGAAGATTAGAGACAAAGTTTACAACTGTTGCTCGGCACATGTACAAACTATATGAATTACGGCTGTAGACGTAGAACGTAATCGATGCCGTGGGAATCTGTCTTGTAAAAATCTGCCGAACGTTCAAACATTTTTTTTCTACGTATCGAACAACTACGTTTTCGATCACAAGCAGTTCAACGATCCGAACTTGATCCTCGTCCAATCCGCGTTAGCGGGAAATACACTTTCGAGATGTACACAGGTAGCTCTACCGTCCAAGTCGCGAGTCCCACGGTCCTTTCTGTTCCATCGTAACAGAACCGATCAACAGTAATTCAGCGAGGTAAACTGTCAATGATTTTCCACTGTAAAAACCAACGCCACACCCAGAGTTTTTCTTTTTTTATTTCACGCAACACCAGCGTTGCGCGCCTACCCGACTTATCTCTTGCCGCGTAATTACTAACGAACTGGCCGACACACAAGCAGACTTGGAAAGCTTGGGCCTC